CAAAAGAACTACACTTCCAAGCACAGCTTGTGCATGGCCTTCGCTCATCGGCTGTTTATCATTCTACGAAATGTCAAGTGGCTTTTGCATACTACAAGTTATTCACTTCGCAACGGATGACCGTGTTACCTTCCTATGGATGTATACGTAAGCGCACATTAACTACTACACGTCAGCCGACGTTTCTAAGCAAGAGCTGAACGATTCCAATCAACAATGAACGCTTAAAGATGCTGTGCGCCAACAGGCGTACATGAGCAATTGTGGACGTAAAACTTCCGTCGCATCTCGCCTTCAAGACAGAGAGCTTATCAATAAAAGATTACTGTACGCCGTACGTTATGAGAGTAGATCGGTCACACGCAACGGAAATTCACTTCACACATATCTGACTTTAAAGTAGTGTTAAAGCATATGAGCATAAAAAGACATTGCGCAGAAAGGGACAGACGAATCAGAATGTAAGAGAGTTGCACGTTCAGTACGAAAAGCTCCTGCGTTCGTCCAGCTAACTTACAGCTGCTGTGATTTCAATTCTCTCCTGGAACAAAATAGCGAACAGCATCAGTAGAGCAAGTGACTTCATCATCATTACCGTTGATGGTGATCATGACCAATCTTTCTGCTTTTATATAAAAATGCCGAGGTAACCGTCAGGGACGGAATCGCGGAGCGACAAGCTAAACAAACTGAAACACACGCATTGCTTATGACTTATTTGCGCATCCTCTATGAAATGCATACACTCTCAGCTTGCATTCAGTCGTTTGCTAACAAACGGTGCAAGGCAACCCCGCTGATATTAGGCGTAATATTAGCAACATATATTTTAGTGAAAGCTGCACCAAGCGTTTCCATAACTGAGCAGATCGCTAATCCGTAAGCTAGCAGAAGCAGTGCAATTCTTTTATCAGTGCTATGGAATGAACGTTTGTTGTATTCTCAGGTGATAAATGCTTTACGTCAGTTATTCGTCAACGTTCTCTTGAGTACAGTTGCTCAATGTTTGACCACTCATTACTCCTCACATGTGAAGTGCAGCCTTTCGGAGCTACACACGCTCCGTTGTCAACGATAACAATTACGGGACCAGTGTGCGCATTCTCAGCAGTGGGGCAGGTCGAATTAGCTAAAAGTCACGTTCAGGGTGCCAAGTAAGTTTAAAGTGTTTCGTAACTCGGTTCTTCTGTATAGGGACCCGATTGTCCTTCAAGATGTTTGTTGTCTTGAGATTGGTTTTTCTGAGTCCTAGGAAACGACATTGGTTCTGAAATGTAATCGCTTCCAGTATGTGCAGGGTCGGTAAAGAGCGGTGGACAAAAGAGATGGTTGACAAAGGACTATGACGGAATTAAAATTAAAATTAAATTGAGCGTAAAAGAAGTAAATTCAGGATACGGAACCGAAATTTGCGATAAAGAACAAAGCCTGAAAATGGCAACATGGGAGGTCATGAACACGACAGAAGGAGGAAAAGCGGGAGAGAGAGACAGACAGACAGACAGAGGAAGTCATTCAAGAACGCAACAGTTTGTCACGTTCATTCAATTGGTCCAAATATCACTGATTTTAACTCCTTTGTCCCGATTTATGTTCAAGCTGTCTTTGAAAACGTAGCTTTTTCTTACGGGACCATAAAGTTGCATGATGTATTTGTACGGATGTTG